CCGTCATTCACCCTTGATCTGGTAACTTCGTTCTACCCTCCTTATCCTTCCTCCATTGAGGACAATGTCGTGCTTAAGTGTGGGGGGATGTTCGATTATGTATGCGGGTGAATGTTTGGCTGTTTGTGTGCTTGGAGCCTAGTCCACTGTCCAAATTTTTAAATTTGAGGGCTCCAAGTACGTGTTTCCTTGCAAATTGCCTACTCAGTATGCTTTGAATTGACAGTCTCTATAGTAATGTGCAACCTAGGGAGGTAGTGTAGCACTATGGAGGATGTTGAAGTATAAGATTTTTCCTATCTAGCTCTCTGCTGTGCCAGTTGATTTTGTGAATTAGTGGAGCTAAGACCGTTGAATTCATGTGGTAATAGTGACTCTGTTTGGATGGTGTTGTGGACTCGTGTATCGAACAGGGTGCTCATGTGGAAAATGGAAAGCAGTTGGTCCTCCATGTCGAAATCATTAAAATCTTAAACATGGGGAAAGCCCAACGTGTGTGGCACCGTTCATTGCACAAAATCGGGTTTTGGAAGAGATTTTAGTGATCCTTAGTGGGGTACTCCTACAAGGTGAAGCTAAGCTGTCTCTAGTACAAGTAAAACTTCCACCCGTTGAGCGGTTTGCCTACTCGAGGATGTGTTTTTAAGGGCACGGATAGAGCTTCCGACCCCCCTTAATTTCATTGACCCTCTACACGAGTTGAGGAAACGGAGTTAAAAGAAGTACTCTGGCGAGCGCCAGATGTACAGAAATTGCTCTTGCTCGACTAATAAGGGTCGACCGTGCAAAAGACTGCAGTTGGAACCCCACCAAATGAAAGAAAAAAATGTAAATGAAAGTGAGAAAAAGGGGTTCCAATGGTGAAATGAAGTGAAAGAGCACCCCGATACAACGAGTCCTTGGTTGTGAATGGTGTGAGTCCCTTTATCCATGAACTGACTATCTTACTTCTACTTTTTCTCATGATCCTGGCTTGAGTCTAGTGCTCGCATTGAGAGAGATAGGGAACGTCTTAGAAGACCAGTTGACCTCGTAAGCTGCTATATGATCTAGGAAATCCTCTATCGACGATCGGGGTTGTATGTTGCTATAGAGTTCTGGAGAGCTGCATTGGTTTGAGTTAGGTTTGCTTGGGGACAAGCAAACAGTTAAGTGTGGGGGGATTTGATGACTCGGTATTTGCACATGTTTTCCCCTTTGTTTCTTGATTGTTTGAGCTTGAATTATCGCGTCTTTGGCCTATTTTACGCTAGGTTGTGTTCCTTTGTCACATTTCAGGTCCTAGCACATAAAGTGAAGCATAGGCGCAAGTTTCAAGTCAATCAGAGATCAATTGACGATTCGGGAGAAGAAACTCGGGCATGACCTGAAGAAGAATGGATTTCTACCTCACTTCATGGACAAAGAATCATGCAAGCTTGTCATGAAAAGGAAGAGGACGAGACTACGAGCGTCTGGGATCAAACGGCGACTGATTCGGAGTCCGGACGAGGGAGAAATGAAGCGTTAAACAGAGGCTGGGTAAGCCACACGGGCATCCTGGAACCCCACACGGCCGTGCGGGTCGTGGCCGTGTGGAAATCACCGAGCCTTCACACGGGAAGCTGGGGAAAGCCACACGGCCGTGTGGCCTGGCCGTGTGAGTCGGGAATTGCTGTTTAAAACCCGATTTTCAGCAAAAGGAAAGAGGGAGAGCTGGGTTTTGGATCCCAAACACCCAAGGGACGAACCCTAGAGAGAGAGCGACTTGGGAACATTCTTGGAGCTATTTTGGAGGATTTCTTCGCCATTGGAGCTCGGGAATCAAGCTTGGAGATGGAGATTGAAGATCTAGATCAGATTTCTGCAGTCTCTCTCTTCTCTATGGAGTAACTTCCCTTCACTTAGGTTTTGAGGAACCCTAGCTATGTTTGTTTGATTGGATGATTGTATGAGTACTCTGACTTGATAATCTTGAGTTCATATTCAATCTATGCATGTTTTCACGATTCAATTCTGCTTTAGTCGAGATTATTGATTCTGCTTTGATCCTATGAGGGTGAATACCTGATTAGGTCAATAGAGCACCATAGATTGATAGTAGTGGATCGATTGCTTTAGTCGAGGGTTGATTCACTGCTTTGTATCGATTGAGAACCTCATTCGATAAGGGAGTCTAGTTCAGAACGCCTTGATCGATTGTTCTAGAGAAGGATACGTCCCTCTAGGCAATTGACTCAAGAGGGCCTTGTTCCTTTAGTCGAGACTCAAGGTCTAGTTAAGGATTCACCGCAATGTGAATGAAAGTGAAACATGTTAGAGATCATCAATCGTTAATCTGGATAGTGGCTAGGGGGAATCATACCTAAGTGAGTTCCCAACCTGTAATTAGATTAACTTTAACTGTAGTTTGCTAGAGTAGTTTTAGTTCTTTCATCTTAATCTGTTTTGCTAGATAATGAACTGAAGCTGAGTAATAGTAACTCTAGAGACCCGTGGATTCGATATTTATTACTTGAGCCACTATACTGCAGTCCCTTTCATTGGTTACACTTGGCCATTGTTAGGAGTTGTGTTTTAGCGAGTCAAAATGTTATGTGGAATCAAAAAATATTTCGCTACAATCGGATAACCGAGCGCAAAGTTACGTTTGTTTGATGGTTAAGTGTTACGTCAGGCATTCACTGCGGCCGTCAACCGCGGTGATGCATTCACTGCTTTGGTCTGCCGCGGTGAATGCATTCACTGCGGTTGACAACAACGGTGATGCCCAAACATGTGTATTTTGGGAATTTTTTTATAACGGCGTATTTTGGATTTTTTTTTTAAAACATGTGTATTTTAGGATTTTTTCCATGAAGAATCCTAGTTCCATGTGTTAGGGATCTTGCTTGTAATGACTTTTAGGATGATATGCTGATTGGTTTTAATCGATTGAAGGGTGTTTATTGCGTCAATTGAATCATGATCAACTTCTCTTGATTTATGCTTCAACCTGTGATAGATAGAATCTGATCAGGTTGTTAGAGCTTCTTCAATCGATAAGAGTGAATTGACTGTACGAGAGCCAGTCAATTCACTACTTTGTACTGGAATCCATTTCCAGTAGTGGAATCTGTGTGAATTGTCTTAGCATTCTATCCTGGTGAAGGCTAGTCGTCTGCCGGATAGTCTGTCTAAGAGGGTTTAGTCAGCTTAAGTGATTCCAAGCTACTTTCTGATCTTCGACAGTTTAATCAATAGTGAATCAACCAAAGGGAATAACAACTTGAACCTAATTAAGGAGCTAGGGGGACTCATTCCCGAGTGACTCTTCTCTTGCTTCAGAAATCGAACAGTTTACTGCTTTCTTTTTGCTTTAGTTTAAACTCATTCTCACTCAACTTTCCCCGCTAGATAATAGATAATCACGAAGTAGCCAGTACATCTAGGCCCCGACTTGACTTTTATTACTTGATCCCACTATACTGCATTTCCATTCTGCGATTACACTTGGTCGCAGTTTGGTGTTGTGTCATAGCGAGTCACCTACACCTGTGTACCTTCACCAACCCACAACCAGAACATATGGTAACCCTCACGATCTTCTCTTATAAAACTCCCACACTGAGGACAATGTGTTGCTGAAGTGTGGGGGGATGTGTATGAATGTTTGAATGCATATCATGATTGGTTGAATCATATATTGCTAGAATCCTCCTTGTTTACAAATGTAAGACATTGATGAATACTTATGGGAGTGTGTGCTAGTGATTGTGTTTGTGTTGTGGTGATCAATGGTCAAATGATATTGTTTTGGAACCTTGAATACTATTACCCAAAAATTTTCAAATTGGAGGGTTCCAAAACACCTTGTTCCTTGCAACTCCCTACTCAATATGTTTTGATTTGTTAGATGATTGATGTGGTGTGTTCGCTAGGTGATAGTTGCATGATTAGAGTACCGGTGTGTGGGTAATTTTACTATCTTCTTCCTCTTTCTGAGTCGATAATAAGTGCTATTTTAGGAGGAACATGTGTGCGAGATTCTCTTTTGTGTCTAGTGAACTCAAAACTTTTACAAGTTTGTGCGTATTAGAAAAGATAGAAAAGAGTGAAACATCTTTTGAAATTGAGACTCACGTGGGAGGCAACCAATCCTCACGGATTCGGAGTCCCTTTGAGGATATGCTTGGAGATTGGATATACCACGTCTCGACCATCTTTCACTACTTACCATCCCCCAAGTATCTTTCTTCTTTACGGAATCGTATGCCAAGGTACAAAATACCTTTTAGTGATTCATCAGACCTCGTAGCTCTCCTTTGTACCCGACATGTGTGGCAACCCAATGTGGAGTGCAGGCTGGGAGTGGTGCTCGGGCTAGGACGAATCAGCCCATCAACTTCCCCACATGTGACCTTGAAAGGGAAGACTATCATTCATCCGCTCTTGGTCATGAGGGAGAGATGCTTGTTTGCAAAAGAATTGCAAAAGCTTGGTGCAATGTGCGTCAATGTCAGAAAAAATGAGACCAATAAACGACAACTTCTAAATCTAAAGAGAGAATAAAGAGCACCTTCAAGAGTTCTAGTTCGTGTTTGTTGTCTGAAAAATCCCCGGACAACACCTTGAATATTCGGCCTAAGGTAGTAGGTATGGTCCTCACCCGAGATTTTGTGTTTGCACAGTAAGAAGATAGTAACGTTCATTCATCTCCGTCTACTCTCCTTTATGCAATGAAGAACTAGAGTGCATTCCCATTGATCTGTCTATCATGTTGCATTAGGTTTGAGTAGGTTTACTTGGGGACAAGCAAACGCCTAAGTGTGGGGAGTTTGATAACACCTAAATTAGTGGTTTGATACTTGCAAACGCCTAAGTGTCGGAGAGTTCTAACTCTCCTGTGAACTAGTCCCGATCTCAAGAGAAACCACGTAAACCGCGTGTCTCATTTTCTTCTTTGTTTTCATATACGTTGGTTGAGAGTGTTTTGATACTTGCTAACAGCTTCGTGTTTCTTTTGATTCACAAGCATACAAACTCCTTCCCACAAAGTGTTCGGAAATGAAAACAATCAGCAAAGTACATGTAACATGTTTCCTGATGCGTGCGTGCATACATCAACTTACATCTAGATAAAGAATGGCAATAAACATATGTAAACAATCACGAGACTATACAGGAGCTTCGAAATGTCTGAGTCTGATGTTTCTTGTCATAAATTTTGTCAAGAAGTAACATGCATTCCGCCTTGTGATGGAACTTGGGCCGAATAATGCTGGACACAACCCGGAAGTAAGAGCTTAGCCCCACTCTTACCACTATCGGCAACCCTCTCCCTGACTCCATCAAATCCTGCATGTTTCTTCCAGCTCCATACATTGGTTTGTTCCTCGTCCCAACATAAAGTCGAAAGGACGTCGAATCATGGTTTTCAGCGTAAAATTTGGAGCCCTGGTGAAAATTAATAATGTACGTGGTGTATGCAGTAGAGATTGATGAGTAAATCAATAACAATAAGGCTGCAGGTTAATAAATATTGTTATACTTACTCTACAAGAAATTAAATCACGATAATAATAGGGTATATAATCATTGAATTTCATGCTAATAAGGTGGTTAATCAACCCTTTAATTGATTTCTTACGCGAGACATGGCGACGAGGAGATGTCCAAATGACAATTCAAGGATCGGGGGATGAACATGAAGACCAAAGAGTTTGGACTTGTTCTTTATTAATACATCCAGCGAACAATTGCAGGTGAGGATCTTAGTCGTCACACCAGTTGAGTCCACTCCTTCTGCTAGCTGAAATTCACTCATTCCTGCTACCTATCATCACAATATCACCCACACCTTAGCGAAAGTATAAGAAGTAACGACGCAGTGGTAAATTCAGAATTTTTTAAGAGGTGTATCAAATAAATAAAAAATAAATATTATGATTAAAAAAAAAAGACAATTCCGTTCTAAAAGGGTTGGAAAATGCAAGACGACGTTTTGTTAATGGAAATGGGCAGTTTTTAATATAAAAAGAAGAAGAATGTATGAATAACTAATTACCAGATATTTTATAAAAAGTTAAATAATATGGCACAGGCTAACGTACGTCTGGTGAGTTTTGCTATTTAGATAATGATTAACCAGAGTTTGGGGCATGATACCATACCCTAACTTCTAATGCATGAATCCCAGTTCCCAATTCACTAACCCAAAGTATGAGATTCGTTTAATCTTGAAATGAACATTAACGATTTTGATTCATCGAAATTATCAATGATTTTCATTTTAAGATTAAACGGATCTCATGGTTTGGGTTAGAAAATTAGGGACTGGGGTTCACCCATTATAGGTTAGGGTATAGTATCATGCCCCAAACCCAGGTTAATTCATGATCTAAATAGCAAAACTCAACGGGGCGTACGGTAGATTGGCGTATGCTGGCCTGAATCAATATATATAGTGGTGTATTCAGTGCATCCACTTTTTTGGGTGTATTCAATGCACTCGCCTTATAATCGTCAAAATGGTATTAATCGTCGCTTATGATGTTATGAACAAGGAACACATGAATTTGCAAAAACCTCATTTGGGATTTATTTGAATTTGAAGGATATAGGATTTAGGGTTTAGGTTTATAATTTACGGTTTTGGGTTGGTATTCAAAATTGAAAGTTAAGAGTTTAGGGTAATAGATTGATTAGTTGTGAGTTTATGTTTTATCATCATATTAGACTAATACTACCAATTAAAGTTCAAAATTCGATGTACTATGACCACTTTAAGAGTCAATGCACCCAAAAAAAATTGGTGTACCAACACAACCACCTATATATATTAGATATGTCACTTATAACTTTTACCACTCTAATAAATTACGATACCAAAATGAAAAAGGGTTTCTCTTGTCGTAATAGCATTAGCATTGAACCTGAAGGTTAGGGGCAGAGCTAGGTTAGAGCTGAGGGGGCCCGGCCCTGTGAGAATTTTGAAAGTTGCGTAGGAATTTGTCGTTAATTGTCGTAATTACAAATAAACTAAAAGTATGTATAAATGGGCGAATGTGAAACATAGTATCATGACTTTGCCGTAGCTTAGCGGTCATAACCTCTGCTCCTTGCAAAGACGGTATGGGTTCCATTCCCCGACCCTAGATTTCCTATAAATTTTAAGTTACCTTTTGGTCGTTTGGATTAAGAATTTAGCTAATGAGGAATTTGGATCACAATCATTCAATTAAAAACCTGGTATTTTAAACCCAGAATTTGGGTTCAATATATTGTTTGTTTAAGGATTGGAGATTTATTAGTTAGGGAAATTAATTCTGAAGCAATTGCCTAAATCACAATTATGTCCTATGGAGCCAACATCCGATTCTTGCCTGCCACTTACCTCGACTTCGCCGGATTTTTCCCCGCCGTTGCGTCCTTCGAATCCATGGGTTTCGAGACCCACCACCGAGAGACGGCGGTGGGAACTCGAGACGGCGCATAAGTTTGAAAAACCCCCAAAACCGACACTTGAAATTTCAGGAGGCGCTCCTGAAATTACCTTCCGCAGCCACGCAAGAACCCTCCGCTGGAGACTCTCAACACAATTTCCCGGCTTCTCCACCGGCAATTCGTCGGAGGAGTATCCTTCCGATTTTGATTTAGGCTTCTCCTTCGCATCAACCATCAGGCGATAGAAGAGATCCAACAAATGCTTTGGGAACCGTCTTTTAGATCCGGGTCGGGTAATCCCAATTCCAGAGGGGAGACCCGCCTGCAGAAATCAACCGACATGAAAATCAAATCCCTACCCGTCGGAGCAATCATCCCGTCAGCATTGCCGTTGAACTTCCCCAAAACCTCCGTCAACAGCAGCATCAGGATGATTCTCTAGCAACAGGACGTCTCTCGCGAGACCCTCCTCCGTCAAATCTCCAACAAAGTAGAGAAAATCAAGGAGGAATAGTCCGTCGACTGTCATGATCCATCGCCATGCTCGGTTCCAACCCAGCCTAGGCCGCCAACGCCGCCGTCGTGGGATTTTTCGTGGAGCGCGCACCTGCAATTGCGGTGGTACGACCGACGCTCGATCCCATGGTCGACGGCCGACAGCGAGCCTTCGAAGACCCAGTTCCAGAAGAACCCATCCACCACGGCCGATCCTGCAGCCATTGACGTGAAGCTGCTCTATTGTTGCTTCCTTCTTAATTCCTTCTTTATTTATCCTCCTTTCCGAATCGGAGAAAGGGATATCGACGATCGAAAACAGAGGAAAACACAGGAAGACGGTGAGGAGGATTTGGATCGGGGCTGAGGGTCTCGGGTTAGGACAAGGGCAGAGGATCTGGATTCGAAGACGACGAGGAGGAATACGAGAGGTTTGGGGTTGTAGAGGGAGGAGTACGACGAAGAATGGTCGAGAAGAGGGATCTGGAGTAGGGTGATAGCAGGGGTACGTTTGGCAGAAACAAAAATTTTAGGGCCGGATTTTAAAATACTTGGGGGTTGGCAGATATTTCTAATTTCTGGGTGGGCCGAGTTTAAAATTTCCGGAGGTCCAAATCATGCATTTTTTTAGAGTTATCCAAACAAAGGAATGTGTTAAATTCCTGAACGGGTCAGGAATTGTGCCAAATCCCTGCCCAATTTCCCTTATCCAAACGACCCCTTTGAGTTTTGACCCTTTTTCATTTCTTTTCCCGTTACTAATTAATTTGGCTGAAAAGTATTTTAGATAATAGTTTGTGTGGTTTGTATTTATTTATATTGTGACCTAACAGATGGTAAACAAATTATTTTAGATAATAGTTTGCGTCATTGTATATATTTATGAGATAGTTATAATACTAAGAAAACTAATGTGTTTACTTTCTTTTATCATTTTGTTTTACAATAAATCTCGGGTCCCATCTTCCATTCGTTGCTCCGCCCCTGCTGGAGGTCCCAGATTCGAATACGTATTTCACAAGATATACCTTAAATTGTACTTAAACAACAAAAACTAAACCTATATCTTCATCAAGTTACAATAGCCAAGCCCCACGTATAACTGTTATCTAACTCTAAATTTGTCGTTTGGGTATCATAAAGGTGTCCAAAATAAAGAAGTGAGTTATTTATCAGGCAAACATTCTTCTTATGTCTAAATCCATCTCTAGGTCCCTGTGGAAATGAAAAAGAATTTCACATTCTCCTTCTTCCCTTCGCTCTCATGTATGATAAACCTTTCGAAAAGAGAAAAGTGAACCCCACACCGTCTTTAATTTTTTTTAGACAAAAATTTCATAATCGATTAAATGAAAAATAATATATTAGTGATGATTTTGATTTCATAGAAACTCACTCTGACAGAAACCTTGGGAGGAGGTGGCTTGGTAGCAATGTAGAACACAAGGAGAGCCAGCCCGAAACTAACCAAAAACCTCCATAATAACTGCACCGAAATCCACGAACAGGAAGAACTCCTACTGAAGGAAAAACACCTCCGCCAAACGCCGCCGCCTTGGTCGGAAGATGGTCTCATCTTTTCATAGTAATACTCCTCTCCACCACCGCCACCACCACCATCATGTTCATCTTCCTCGTCGGAAGCTTTGACGGCGACGTCGTCGTCGAGGGTCGATGATAATGGACTCTGGACGTAGTAAGGACATGATTGCATTGATGAGGAGTAGCCATCGCCGGCTGCGATAGAGTGGTGATGCAAAATCCAAGCCGTCCCTAGTCGTTGTTGCTCTACTTCCCGATCTGCACTCGTGCTGCTGCTGTCCATCCTTTGAAATGATTTAAGTGTGCATATACGATGTTCAGGCTATAGCTCTCTCTATATAAGCACGCAGCAACGTGACGTGCCCCGATGACAGATATGATTAGCTTTATTAGAGTATTGTTATCTCTTATCTCTGTAGCTCTTTATCATTTTCTGGGTGGAGTTGTAATTATTATATATATTAGATGTGCAGTAACTGCGGTGGCGTAATTCATCCGTTAAGCTTACTTTTTTGCTAATGTTTCCTTCACTTGGTTTGTGTAGCCTAATGATGTTGTATATATAGCCTATGATGATGGTGTATCTATATAGCATAATATGATTGTGGCTTTATTATAATTCTGTCGATTACCAGGAACCGATTCTCTTTCTTATTATTCACAATTATTATGCTACCCAGATAGATAAAGCAATGCATTTGTTTCGGGCTTTTTGTTACTTTTACAACACTCCAAATTAAAGCAATCTTGATTATTCTATAAAAACATATAGATTAAAGCAAGCTTATAAACCCCGGTTTCTGCGGTTAGTTTGACTGTGCGAGTGAGTTAAGGGTTAGTGGTTACACTAAATTAGTTTTTCGGGATACCGCATACCTTGAGTATGAAAACGCTATCTATACCTCGAATTAACAGGATTTTTGGGCATGATACTACACCATTAATGAGTGAACTCTAGGTCCTAATTATTTAAATCATAAACTATAAACCCTAAGATGGTGCATTGATTTTTTTGCCTATATGTGGACGAATCATAACCGTCGATTATTGTTTCTAATTAAATTGATCTTGGGGTATAAGATTTAGAGAATTAAGACCTAGGTTTTGATCTTTAAGGGTTAGAGTATAGTATCATGTCTGAAAGATCAGTCAATTCAAGTTATGGATATCATTTTCTTACTCAAGGCATGCGGTACCCCTGATTTCACCCTGGGTACCGTAGAAATCATATATATATGTGCACAATTAACTCATGCAACAAGCTTTCAGATACCAAATCTCACAAATAAGATAAGCCAGGGTTGAATGTTTGATATAAGTCGAGGCTCTAACTACTGGGCTTAAACAATCAGAAACTCAACAAAGATCAATTAGAAGCACAACGATCAGCAAACGGATAATAACCTAAACCAAATCCACACGTCGGGAAGAGGGTCAGGTATACGAATGACTATTTGGCTAGGATGATGAGCTAGCAGAAAACATCATCTTCTTCTTGATGAACCGATTCCACGATCTAGAAAGAAGAAGAAGAAGAAGAGAAGTTGGTGTTTGAACAACCAATTCTAGGGTTTGATTTCAGAATAAAATTGTTGATTACCCTCTCAAAGACTTAGTTCATCCCTTCATATAGGCTACAAAGATTTTGGGCCAAAAATAACAGTGAAATCCGAGTTTTGGTGTAAAAATCACATAATCCGCAAAGTAGACAAAAAAACTCGCCGATAGCAGCCGACCCAAAATACCCAACCTCCCCTCTCAAATACCCAGTCGGATATTTAAGCTTCTCGGTCGGGGGGGGGGGGGGGCCTCCTAGACACAATCCCCAATCTCCCCTTCAATTACCCGATCGGGTTTTACACCTCCATGGCCGGTGATTGGTCTGAAGCAGCCTCAACTTCAATGATTATCACTTCTCGTCCCACGAACAACTCGGCCTCCATATTTGTGAAATTTTGGGCCAAATAAGCTTGAAGTCGACCCTTGAATGCATTAGCTTGACTTCTAGTGACCAGACCACATCCCTCTCGCACAAGAGTTGGACTTGAGATTGCCTTGGTGTTGATGCCCTCACCAACCCCCTCTCCTTGAAAATGATCTGCCCTAAAATCTGAGTCGTCTTCAAGGAAAGGATCTAAGTCAGCAACATTCAACGTAGCACTCACACCATACTCGCTCGGCAGATCAATGTTGTAGGCATTGTCATTGATGCGGGCAAGGACTTGAAATGGACCATTGCCACGAGGCAAAAACTTAGAACGTCGTTGATGGGGAAAACGTTCCTTCCTCATGTGTACCCAAACCCAATCTCCAGACTCAAATCATTGAGGACGCCGATGCTTGTTCGCGTTCTTCAGAACCTGCTCTGTCTGTCTCTCTATGTTCATCTGCGCCTTCTCATGGAAACCTTGAACATATTATGCTTTCTTCGCACCATGTAAATTCACACGCGACAAATCCAAAGGGGTTAAAGGATTAAATCCATACACAATTTCAAATAGTGAAAACTTAGTGGTAGAATGAACAACCCTATTTTATGCAAACTCTATATGAGGTAGCATTCTTCCCAAGACTTGATATTACTCTTAATGACAACCCCAAGCATTTGAGACGAAGTCCTATTAACTACTTTAGTTTGACCATCTGTTTGAGGGTGTCAAGTAGTAGAACAACAACTTAGTACCAAGCTTACTCCATAGAGTTTTCCAAAAGTAACTCAAGAACTTGACATCACGATACGACTTGATGGGTTCATCCCAGTGGTAGTTGGCACCATTGCAAGGCTGCTAGGGGTTTATGTGTAGGATTGAGTTGAACTTTCTCCAACAAACTTCTCGTGGGCTTTTATGAGGATGTCATGAAGTCTTCCCCTCTATTTGGCTTCGTTTAATGGATGAATCACCTTGATCTTCTAGCAATTGTCTCTTTTGAACCTCCAACTTAATGCAATTGTTGATCCAAATCATCCTACAACGTGTTTGACGTTGGATGGCACAAACTGATAGCAAAAAAAAGTTCCAACGTGAAAGAGGGGGCTTATAGGTCTTCCCCTCCTAAGACGCGGCAAAAAGCATCCTGGTACCATTGGGACTAGGATTCTTTACTCGAGGATGAAGTAAAGCATATTTTAGAAGATTCCACATGCTTGGGCCAACGACGACCCAACGATGGTCACCACCATCGAAGGTTTTCCTCCGGATTTGATTGTTTGGCACACAAGTAACTCCTCCCTTGAAATCCAATACAATTTGATGGGTTCAGCCCAGTGGCGGTTGGCACCATTGCAAGGCCGATATGGTATTGTGTGTAGGCTTGAGTTGAAATTTCTCCAACAGACTTCTCTTGGGCTTTTATGAGGATGTCATGAAGCCTTCCCCTCCATATGGCTTCATTTAATGGATGAATCACCTTGATCTTCCCGTAATTGTCTCTTTTAAACCTCCAACTTAATCCAATTGTTGATCCAAATCATCCTACAACGTGTTTGACCTTGGAGTGCACAAAATAATAGCAAAAAAGCCTAAAATGATAATAAAAACACATCCTAGGTATATTATGGGCACATTAATTGCATGGTTATGATTTTCACTTAAAATATAATAAAATATAATAAAGATGCATTGATAAATGTGAAAAATGTGACCCTAATTGAAACATACAATACAAATATCATTACTAACCGCAACTTGAATATGGGCCTACAACAACCCATATCCAAGCCTGAACAAAACAACCCTGAACCCTAAACCCTCCACTTCCCTGTGATAGGATGTGCTTTCCACCCTTATCCTCCTCCAGTGTTTCCTACAATTAACAAAAAAATTCAAATTTTCACTCCCATTGTACTTAGGGAATTATAGTTGGGCTAGTTTGGGCCTAAATAACCCTCTCCTCTCCTAGACTGAACCCACGCGGCCCTTCTCTTTCATGAAGCCCAGCAACTTTTTTCTCCCTAGATAATCAAGGCCATTTCTTCCACTAATCCAGGAGTCAACCCATTTCTTCCACCTAGCATCGGCCATGGCCCTAGCTCTAGTCTCACGCTCCGGTCAGCCCTACGCTAAAGCGCATGGGCCACTTCCCAATTATCTTTAGTTCTCTCTTCCACTTACTCTTCTAAACGAAAGTTCCGCAACAAGATGCACACCAGAAGAAGAAGGAAAAAAAAAAAAAAAAAAATTTTGCGAAAACTACAAATACGTGCAATAGTAAAGCTAGCAATTTAAACTTTTGAAAGAATGGAATCCACTATCCAAGAAGTGATATAATGGAATCCACTTTCGTGTGGAAGCCACACTCCACCACACCATCACCATTGATAACGTCCAAAACAGAAATGCTAAAGTAAAATTGACGGTTTATATTATATCAATTGTTGGGTATTATATACTTTGTAACCTGATCGTGGCTCAACCACTACATGAATTCAGGTTTATTAAGACCCTAGTTTAGAGTGTGTACCAAATTTTATTAATACCTTAAAAAGTAGTGGACAGAATGTGTTCACAACATCGTTAAAGTGTTAGAGGAAGTATAACATACTATATACTGATTTACTGCTTAAATTATTTTATGTCTTTATTTTTAAGTTGTTTTAATTTACTTCTTAATTTTTTGTGAATATCTCTTATTAGAAGAAAAAAGAAACAGACTTATTGTATTTATAGAGCTATATATGTATATCATAATGAAACGTTTGGTATAAAATTTATGGTGCGTCTATGGTGCCTTGCAAGTTATCTTAACTTGTACAATTCGGTCGACCTATTACTAACTGCAGTCGACCGAATCCTCTAAGGTGGTCTCTAATTTTATACAAATGACCAACAATAGAGAAGTGGTCGACCTGAAATATTAGTAGGTCGACATTAAAGACGTAAGTTGTCACTACCAGAACCAATTAGGTCGACCTTTGCTCTTCCTAGGTCGACCTATCCAGCAAAATAATACCAATTTAACAACAACAAAAATGTGTAATACTATCACAAACAATTGCTAGTTCGACCAGACACATTGACCGGCTGACCTTTTAAGCACAACATAGTCTTACAAACAAAGGCAAAGTCGACATTTTGGATAAACGAGCAAAACAAACAAAAACAGTCGACAATGATAAGAATTAACCTATTGAGTATGATCTTCCTTACCTCGCAAGTACAAAAGTCCGAGTGTTGTGCCCTAAATTCAATTTCTCGAATGGTCTTCTGCACGCAACAAAACATCAAATTAAACGGTGCAAATTACGAATTAGACAAGATGACGGCGATAGCTAAAATAGGTCGACCTCACATTTC